AATTTACTCCACCTAGAAGTTATAAAGGTGATGCGGGTGTTGTGGGTGAGGAAGTTGTTGTGGGTGAGGAATCTGAGGAGAGTGAGGAAGCTGTTCAAGATGATGAGGTTAATCCTAATGCCCAAGTTGATAATGTTCAAATTCAGGAGGTTGTTCCTGTTATCCAGGTTCAGCAGGTAAGGGTTAGGCCAATTTCAGATATTTTGAAGAGGATAAGGAGAAGAAATTCAGAGAGAATATTGAAGCTGAAATTAGGCAAAACAATTGGTGGTGTTGATGATCCAGGAAATTCTAAGGGAAAAGCTCTTGTAATTGATTAGTGTTGATTGTAATTTGGATTTAAAGTTTATGTATTAGGATGATGGTAATTTGTTTTAAAGTTTATGTATTAAGATGATGGTAATTTGGATTTAAAGTTTATGTATTAGGATGATGGTAATTTGAATTTTGTATGGATGGTGCCTTTCAATTTCACTCATGACACAAAAGGGTATTTTCTTCATTTATGTATGGATGGTGCCCTTTGAAGTTCACTCTTGACATAAAAGGGTATTTTGGTCATTTATTTATGGATGACAGAAAAGGGTATTTTGGTCATGAGAGAAAAGGGTATTTTGGTCAGTAATGGATATTTTGGCCACTTTTGACATAAAAAGGGTATTTTGGTCATTTATGTATGGATGACAGAAAAGGGTATTTTGGTCATGACATAAAAGGGTATTTTGGTCAGTAATGGATATATGTTGCCTTTTTACTGAAACTGTTCACATGATATTTTACTCGCTTATGAAAGTATGTTGCCTTTTTAAGTAAAATCATGACATTTGGCTTTGAATATTTCTGCATGGAAAAATTTGGAATAATGTGCATGCATGTGAATGTTTTATATGGTCCCGAATATGGTTCTATAATGGGTTCAAAGGTCCTATTTTTCCATTATTAAAACACCCACTGACTAGTAACTACAAATCGTCCCCATACACATAGTGTACTTCCACATGGACCACTTTCTCTTTTGTTCCCAAAATGAAAACATGCACAACAACAAATCTAATTAAATATATTTGTTGGTAATACAAGCCATGCATATGTTTCATTAACATCAACATCTGATTATACAAAATGCCCTATAATTGGGACTTTGAATATTTTTTTACATTAGTTATCATATGCCCTTTCATTAGGGACTTACCACCTTACAACATCAACACATCAAGGTTGATAGCCCCAACTTGTAACTAAAAGCAGCTTCAATACATACAAAATGCCCATCATTACTTACTTTCTAGTATGCATTTACAAAAAATACAAGGGATCCCAAAAAACAAAAGCTTACACTAACCAACCTAACTAAGTACAATCACCCCCTAACTTCAAAACACAAATGACCAAGCAAGCAAACAACAAGGCAACTATCATCCTGTACCTGCCTATTGCCTTCCTTGCATCATAAACTTCTTTCTCACTCTTTGACACCTTATACTGCTCCTGTGACAACAAAAACTCCACTTCAGCAATCATTCTCCTCAAATTGTTCATCTCAGACAGATCCTCTTTAGCATCCAGTTTCTGCTTCAGAGAATATAACAGGTTTTTGTAGTACCCTTCTGTCTGTTCTTCATCTTTCCATTTAAAGAAGCTACATTTATTCAACTTAGTCTATAAAAAGTCAATAAAATTAGGGTTTGATTCACAATCACAAATCAGCTACCTTTAATGTACTAACGAAATGGGTTTGATTCACAATCCACCATCGTCAAGAAGCAAATAAAATTAGGGTTTTTTAAGCAAACAAAATACAAATCTACCATGATCGTCTTTACAGCAAGAAACAACACAGCAAACCCTATGTCACAACTAGGAATTCTATGCTTTTGTAACACTAATGATGATAACATTTGTAACCAAAATTTGAAAACATGCATGATGTTTATTCAATGACAACAAAATTCCATAAAAAAAACTCTATACAAACACTTCAAATAATCAACAAAAGATTGGAAACCCTAAAAATCCCAGTTTAAGTCCATTATGGACTAGGATTTTCTCATTGGGCCTAATGGACCAATAAGCCTCCAATTTGACTATTTTGGGATTAGGACCCTTAAATGGGCTCTAATTGGACCCACTTTCATGAGATTTAACATTTTGGGCACTAATGGGCCTAAAATGAAATAAAATTTTCTAATGGGCCTTGTTGGGCTATAACTAACCTCATTAGTTTAAATGGGCCACAAATGATTTCATTTATCCTAATAGGCTTCAATTGGGCCGTGGACCCTCATAAAGGGCCCAATGGGCTGAGAATTAGGAATTTGGGCCTCATAGGATCATAACCAAGCAAGTAAGGCCCAAGCCACTTCTTCTTTTCTCTTCTTTCTCACCTTCGGCCCATAAAAAAAAGAGATTAATGAGGAATTATTTAACCATGACACCTAAGAATTGTTTAGAGGTAATCTATGCATTACATCTCATGTTTTCATGCAAAATCCTACATGTAATACCCAAGGACCTTTTCCTTTCTTCTTCTTATTACCTCTCGGCCGAGAACAATGAACCCACACCACCATCTTCAATCTTCTCTTCAAACTCTGTCAAACACTTCAAGAACATATTTCTACTTATCCTCAAAATTTCGAGAATCATAAGAGCTTCCAGGAGGATTTCATCCAAAAATCACTTCAAGTTATATACTAGTGAACTCATCAAAGTTTGAAGGTCCCTTAAAGAAGCTTGCTAAGGCCGAAAACCACACCATCTTCTTCCATTTCTTATTCAAAACCGAAACCACAAACCCAAGGTGAGTTCATACCCCATTGTTTTTGGTTTTTACTTGCTTTTGGGGGGAGAATACAAGTGTTATGTGTTGATCTATGAGTTTATGCATGTTATATGTGATTTCCTTGGTTATTGTTGTGAAAAATATGATAATACTTGTCATATCTCGAAATCTATAGCATAAATGTGTAAGATTCATAAACTAAAACATATTAAACAACATACTTCAAAGATATAAGTGTCTTCATGTGTGAGAAGTGAAAAACAAAGCAAAAGATTGTACAAGTATCAATTTTTGCAAATATAACAAAGTATTGGGAGAAAAATGACATATTCGGCTTTATAAGGATAAAAATGGTATTTACTTTCATAATAGTTGGGTTTTTATGATAATAATACTTTTAAGGGGTCAAAAATATAAATTTTTGCTTATTGGACTTACAATTGGGCCTCACGGGTTTTTGAGCCCAAATTGCAAAAAAAAAATGGTTTTGGGGTTGAAATTGTAAATTCATCAAAGTATGAGTCTAAAAACGTAAACAAACCAATTCAGGGGCTGAAAATGTCCTTTAATCCTAAATTGAGTTAAAAATGTAAAGTTTTTTGATTTTGGACCAAAATTGTAAAACTTACGAATATTCATAACGTATGGTTTTAAAAATATAGATATATATAACCAAAGAGTCGTTATAAATCAAACATCAAGTATTTCAATATCGCAAGTTAACACTAAGTGTAAAACAAATCCTATACTACAATTTATACCGACAAACAGATAAATGATACAATGGTTGGGCCCAATATTTTCTACTCGTGCTTATTGGGCCTCCGTGACCCAATTATACGATTGTTGGGCCCAATATAATCAAACATGTTTATTGGGCCTTGGTGACCCAATTACATGCCCAGTGGGCCTTTATCACCTTTAACATGCTATTGGGCCTTAGTGGCCAATTTGCATTGCTAATATGGCCCTAAATATTCATCATATGCTTAATGGACTATAATGTGTCCGTAGCATACTCGACAGCCTAGAATAACATGCATGATTAGTGGGCCACCGTTGTCCTCTTTCGTGTCTGTTAGGCTTACTTCATATTCACGTAAACATCA